ATAGCCCTGGCTGGTGTGGCTCAGTGGATTGAGCACCAGCCTGTGGACCAAAGGGTTGCTGGTTTGATTCCCAGTCCAGGGCACATGCCTGGGTTGCGGGTCAGGTCCCCAGCAGGGGGCCCATGATATGCAACCACACATTGATGTTTCTCTCCATCTCCTTCTCCCTCCCTTCCCATCTCTAAAAATAAAATAAATAAAATCTTTAAAAAATAAATAAATAAAATCAATCTGCATTTTAAAAAAAGAAAGAAGGAACTCCTACCTTTTGCAACAACATAGATGGAACTGGAGAATATTATGCCAAGCGAAAAAAGGCAGTCGGTGAAAGACAAATATCATATAATCTCACCTATAAGTGGAATCTATTCAACAAAATAAACCATAGACAAGGAAACATGGAGCAGACTTAAAGTGACCAAAGGGGATGGGGAAGGAGGACAATGGTATGAAGAATGAGAAGGGACTAGACAAAGAACATATATGAATGACTCATGGACATGGATAACAGAATGGGAATGGACTGTGGGATAGGGGGGCAGGTTGGGATGGGAGGAGGAGGGAAAAGGGGGAAAAATTGAGACAACTGTAATAGAATAAACATGATTCAAAAATTAAAAAATTAAAAAAAATACGGCAAAAAAGAGTTCTTAGATGTAACACCAAAAGCACAACCCATAAAATGAAAACCAGCCTTCAGATCAAGACAGAAGGAGGACAGCCACATGTCCTGTCAAGGCGATGGGGAAAATGCAAAAGCTCCATTCTCATCTTATTTCTGTGGAAGTCACGGTACCCCAAGGTAACTGAGCACAGAAGGACAGGTGAGCCTCCTGCTTGGTCATCCCATTAATGTGCCAGAAATGTGGCATTAGGGACCGTGGCAGAACTCACCCTAATGTGTCTCTCCTTAATGCTGGTAGTGATATTTATCCCTTATAAAAAAGTCATAATCCTAAAAAAAGAAGTAAATGAAATAATAAAAAAAATGCTTCAAAAGATCAATGAATCCACGAATTTGTTCTTTAAAAATATAAACAAGACTGACAAACTTTTAACTAGACTCATGAAGAAAAAAATAGAGGACCCAAATAAATAAAATAAAAAAAATGAAAGTGGAGAAATTACAATTGACACAAATAAATACAAAAGATTGTATGAAAATATGAATAACTATATACCAAAAAACTGGGTAGCCTGGATGAAACGGATCAATTCCTAGAAACACACTATTTTCTAAAACTAAATTAGGAAGAATCAGATAATTTGAATAGACAGATTACACCTAGTGAAATTGAAGCAGTAATCAAAAAGTTCCCAACAAACAAAAGCCCTGGACCGAATGGTTTCACAGGAGAATATTACCAAACATTTCGAGAAGAACTAACACCTCTTCTTCTGAAACCATTTCATAAAATTGAAGAGGAGGGACGTCTCCCAGACTCGTTTTATGAGGCCAGCATTATGCTAATTGAAAAACCAGATAAAGATACTACAAAGAAAGAAAATTATAGGCCAATATCCCTGATGAACATAGACTCTAAAATCCTCAACAAAATATTAGCAAACCAAATACAGCAATGCATCAAAAAGATCATACACCATGATCAAGTGGGATTTATTCTGGGAATGCAAGGTTGGCACCACAATCAAAAATCAATGAATGTGATTCATATAAACAAAATGAAGGATAAAAAACGTATGATCATATCAGTAGATGCAGAAAAAACATTTGATAACATTCAGAACCCATTTATGATATAAACTCTCAGCAAAGCTGGATTAGAGAGAACCTACCTAAACTTAATAAAGAGCATATGTGACAAACCCACTGCCAGCATCATATTCAATGGGCAAAAACTACAAGGGTTTCCCACAAGATTGGGAACAAGACAAAGATGTCTGTTTTCACCTCTCTTATTCAATATAGTACTGGAAGTCCTAGCCACAGCAATGAGAAAGAAGAAGAAAAGCAAGACATCCATATTGAAAAGGAAAAAAATAAAATTGTCATTATTTGCAAATGACATGATACTGTACACAGCGAACCCCAAAGATCCCACCAGGAAACTACTAGAACTGATAAATGAATTCAGCAAAGTAGCAGAATACAAAATTAATATCCAGAAATCAGTTGCATTTTTATGTGTCAATAACTAACAGGGGTCAAAATTAAGAAAACAATCCCATTTTCAAAATAATTCCTTTAAAAATTCCTTTAAAAATAATAAATACCTTTAAAAATAATTTAATAAATTCCTTTATAATTCCTTATAAATTCCTTAATAAATTCCTTTAAAAATAATAAAATACCTAGAAGAAACCTAATCAAGGATTTAAAAATGTGTACTTTGAAAATTATAAGACACTGAAGAAACTGAAGAAGATACAAATAAGTGGGGGCAGATACCATGTTCATAGATAAGAGGACTTAACATCATTAAAATGTCCATACTACCCAAAACAATCTATATACTCAGCACATTTCCTATCAAGATTATAGTGATGTATTTTACAAAACTAGAACAAATATTTCAAAAATATATGGAACCAGAAAAGGTCCAGCATAGCAACAGTGATCCTGAAAAAGAAGAACAAATTTGGAGGAATCACACTACCTAACATCAAACTATAAGGCCATAATAATCAAAAAAGAATGGTACTGGCATAAAAACAGACACATAAATAATGGAGCAGAATAGAGAGCGCAGAAGTGCATGCATACCTTTATAGTCAATTAATGTTTGACAGAGCAAGGAAAAACATACAATAGGCTAAAAGCACTTTATTCAATAAATGGTGTGGGGAAAATTGGACAGATACATGCAGAAAAATGAAACTAAACCACCTTCTTACACCACAAACAAGAATAAATTCATAATAGATCAAAGATTAAATGTTAGACCCAAAACCATAAAAATCATAGAAGAAAACATAGGCAGCAAAATCTTGGACATTGCTCATAGCAATATTTTATCAGGTATATCTCTCCAGGCAAGGGAAATAAAAGAAAAAATAAATACATAGGGATACAGTAAACTAAAAGTCACAGAAAAGGAAATCATCAACAGAATAAAAAGACAACTCACTCAATATTCTCTCATTCAGATATTCACCAATACATCTGATAAAGTGTTAATATCCAAAATTCATAAAGAACTTCCAAAACTCAACATTATAAAAACAAACAACCCAATTAAAAAGTGGGCAAAGGACCTGAATAAACACTTTGCCAAAGGGCACATACAGATGGCCCATAGATGTATGAAAAGATGCTCAACGTCACTAATCATCAAGAAATGTAAATTAAAACCACCATGAAATATCATCTCATGCCTCTCAGAATGACGATCATCTATACATCAACAAACTGAAAGTGCTGGCAAGGATGTGGAGAAACGAGAGCCCTTTTGCAGTGTTGGTGGGAATGCAGATTGATGCAGCCACTGCGGAAAAGCTCTATGGAGATTCCTCCAAAAATTAAAAATGGATCTGCCTTTTGACACAGCTGTCTCACTTCTGAGACTATATCTGAAGAAACCCAAAACAGTAATTCAAAAGAACATAAGCACCCATATGTTCATTGCAGCATTATTTACAATCATCAAGATATGGAAGCGGCCCAAGTGTCCATCAGTAGGTAAGTGGATAAGACAACTATGGGACATTTACACAATGGAATTCTACTCAGCAGTAGAAAAGAAGAAAATTTTACCCTTTCTAGAAGTATGGATGGACTTGGAGAACATTATGCTAAGTGAAATAAGCCAGACAGAGAAAGACAAATACCATATGATCTCACTCATATGTGGCATCTAATGAACAAATTGAACTAACAAGGAAAATGAGGACAGGCTCATAGATGGAGAGCAGGATGACAGCTAAGGTTGGTGGGGGGAGGAGGTTAGGGGGTGGAAGGAGTGAGCAAAAAGGAAAAAGGACTCATGGATGATGAACAACAAGTGTGGTGATTGCTGGGGGCAGGGAGTATAAGGGGACCAAATAATAGTTGAAAAATATAATAAAGATTAAATTAAGAGAAAGAAGATTACCAGATCTGAAAATTTTTGGCTTCTCACTTTGCTAATTTATATCTAGATCTTGATATGTACCTTGTTATGTTTTAGGAACTATGAAAAGACATATGGAGAGGTAAGCTTCATAGCAGGCTTGTGCTAGTTCAGCAGGTGTTAAAACCAACTGAAGCCACAAAGTAATTTGTTTTCATTACTGATCAGCAACTATTGCTGAATAAATTGAAAATGTGAAATCATTGCTCATTTAGTTGGATGAAATGAAAAATTTTCTGAAGGTGAGGAGATAAAGTGAAAATGAAAACTATTATCTTTTGTTTCTAGTACCTCAGTTTACTTGAAATGGGATGGAACAGAAATTTCTATGTGTTAATAAGAAGTAATTCAAGTTCACACTCTGAAGATCTTATTATCCTGCAAATAAGAGCTACATTTTTCTAAAGCTCTCTCTTCTTTTTATGGAGGCTCACAGAATGGAATCATTTCAAGAACTGGAGAGTTAGTTTGTAATATAGCCTTGTTTTCCTTTCACTAGATGTGTAATAGGAGCAGCCCCTATATTTTACCTTGAAATAAAATACAGAGTAATATTGGAGAATTGAGGTACAGAATTTTGCAGGGCCTCAGGCTCATCATAGTCGAAGACAAAAAATGTCAGTGGACAGTATGAGAAGGAATGATGTATGCCAGTGTTGTGAATTGGAATAGTAGTGTTAATCAGTAAACCAGGATTCAGAGGTGGCCACTGGGTTCTATTTATTAATACAGGAAAATAAACTCAGGCATTTGTCAAAAACAAGGTTTGAGGGGGAGAAAGTCTTTCTAATTAATTCCTGAATCGCTTTCCCATTACTTCAGCATTCCTGGGGAATCCAACTTGTAAAGTCCCATTGGTTAGTGAATAATTATATTGCATCCACTTTCCCTTAGAAGTGCTTAAGGACTCTTGCTTTGTATTCCTTGCAGGTGAAAGCCCAGCTTCTGTGGTTGTTAATGCCTCTGCAGGATTATTTTCACTAAAGATGGAAACACTGGAGTCTGAATTGACCTGCCCAATCTGCCTAGAGTTGTTTGAAGACCCCCTTCTGCTCCCTTGTGCTCATAGCCTCTGCTTCAGCTGTGCCCATCGCATCTTGGTCTCCAGCTGCAGCTCTGGTGAACCCATTGAACCCATTACTGCTTTCCAGTGCCCTACATGCAGGTATGTTATCTCGCTGAACCACCGGGGCCTGGATGGCCTCAAGAGGAATGTAACTCTGCAGAACATTATTGACCGCTTCCAGAAGGCTTCAGTCAGTGGGCCTAATTCCCCAAGTGAGAGCCGCCGGGAGAGGACTTACAGGCCCAGCACCACCATGTCTAGTGAGCGAATTGCTTGCCAGTTCTGTGAACAGGACCCACCAAGGGATGCAGTGAAAACATGCATCACCTGTGAGGTCTCCTACTGTGACCGTTGCCTGCGGGCTACACACCCCAACAAGAAACCTTTCACTAGCCACCGCCTGGTGGAACCAGTGCCAGACACACATCTTCGAGGGATCACCTGCCTGGACCATGAGAATGAGAAAGTGAACATGTATTGTGTGTCTGATGACCAGTTGATCTGTGCCTTATGCAAACTGGTGGGGCGTCACCGAGACCATCAGGTTGCATCACTGAATGATCGATTTGAGAAACTCAAGGTAAGGGATCTGGGAAATATCTCTTATATAACTTTGTCTCTTTATACAATTATATATTTAGCAAGTTCTCTAATAAAATGGGTCACTTTTAAAAATATGGCAAATTAATTAATTCCACTTGTCATATAAGCCTTGTGAGGAATAACCTACTCACCTGCAAGCTTCCACTGGAACCTATTTCATCTATTGCATAAACCTGCTTGCATATGACCAATTCTGAGGAAGTTAGCCCATGGCCCACCACACCAGTAGTCCACTCAAGGAAACAGTAACTTCTTTCCTCTTTAAGTGACATATTGCACACTGCATATCTTTGTGCTGATTTGCATATTTATGTGTATAGCCATGGGAAGGTTGGGTATATCTCTGTGTAGGTATGGGTGGAGGTGTCTGAGTATATCTCCATAGGTGAGATATTTTTATGGAGGATGGTAGTGTATGTTTGCATACTCAGTACTCTAAAAAAAAAGTTTGGCACTGGCTGCTACAAATGCCCATCAAGCTCTTGACATGGGGCTAACTCTAAGCCTGCTTTAAAAAACAAAAGGAAATAAAATTAAAATTAAAAATATCAAAACAAAACAAATGAAACTTCAGGGTACCATGAAATCAGGAGGAATGATTAAATACCTGAAATAAACATTTAAACTGAAGGCCATAAATATTCAATCCAGTATTAGATTTTGTGCCAGTGTTCATTTTTGTGGTTTATGGACTGAAGCACTTGTTTGCAGTCCCCGCCTTAGAAGTTCCTAGTCTTTCATTTGTGGTCAGTAGGCAGTTTTCTGAAGTTGTTGGGCCATATAATATTTATGTGCAATTCTAAGCACCTATTATTAAAGCCCTGTTACTTCATGTTGATGTTTAAATGTCAGATCCAACAAATTGTTTTATTCCGATTGCCTGCCTGATGTGTGATTTACCTTCTCTTAAAAAGGGAGCAACTTAGAAATTTTAGAAACATAGAATGTCTAAATGAGTAAGATTACCATTGCTAAATAGGGCCTGAATAAATAAGCCAAGCTCTAAGGAAGATCTAGATAGAATGGAAGGAGGTCAAGAGTGGGTAGAGAATTTCTTCTTGCCATACTCTGGAACAATCTATGTAACTTAGGTAAAATTTATGATGTTGGTGAGGACAGCAATACTCAGAATAGGATAAATATGTTCTTCCATAATTTGTGGCAAGCAATATTGACAGTAGTCACACTGAAAATGCTTTGTGCCTTTTTTATTGTTATTTACATCTAATGTTTATAAATTTGTACAAAGTTCAATGTTTTTGTTGATTTCATTCAAGGTAATATTCTCATTCATATCAAGACTGCAGAGAAGAATAATCTTATTGACTTCCATTCTTAGAATCATAAGAAATTAGGCTTTGATCTTGCTCTAGTTGAAGCCCTACACTTTAAAATGGTATAAACTGAAAGTCTGATAGATTAAGCAATTTGGTCAAAGTCACAAAATTGAAACTGGAGCTCAGCTTCTAGATTGTGAATTAAGGATCCTTCCTACTGCAACCTGCTGCCACTTTATTTTAGACCTAAGTTTTACCCCATGAAATGTATTTGAATCGAAACATTATCCTCCAGCAATTGCACATTCTTTGGGTCACAGATAAATCATTAACAGCATCAAGGAAAGGACAAATTATATAAACTTACAGCTTCATAATGGCAAGAGATGGGAGTGGTTTTGCAGGAAGAGTCGGGTATATGGAGAGGATGAAACAATCTCTGCCAAATATTTGCAGGTGTTGGAACTACAATAAGGCATTGGCCTTGAGAACTACTCCAAACAAAAAAAATCTATATCCATATGTACTATTGAGATAACAAAAGACTGGGTAGAATAAACCTGTAACTACAGAACTTCAGCTTTTTAAAAATATCCAAAAACACGAAAATATTGGATAATTGATTAGATATTTGGCATAATGCAGCTATGGCCCTTGTCTTTAGGGATGGATGAAGCACAAAAATATTTTACAAAAAGATACTTTAGTTTATAACTAATCAGTAAAATTTGGAGAATGAAAGGCCAGATTTTGAATTGTTCCCTTTAAGTTTTTAAGGAAATGTGCAGAAAAGTCTGATTATTAATTAAGTGGAAACTTTTTTTTTGCTCATTTTTGGATTGGAAAGTGGAAACATATGAATCATTACAAACCGTGAGGTTTGTTATATTGTCTGGAACATCTTGGACTTTGGGGAGGGAGAGGGAGGTGCTGCTTGTGTGTGTGTGTGTATGTGTGGAGGTCACTTTGGTTTGATGCCAAGTGTGAAAGGATATTAGTTCTCCATATAAAGCAGAGAGAAAATCTGACTTTCAGTGTCACATATACTCTCCTTCTTTAAAGTTAATTTTAATTTAGAGAAGCATCTAGGATTATCCCCTTAATCTGCTTGATTCTTCCCCAAGAAGAAAGGAGAATGCTGGCTGTCAGAAGATATGGAGGGGGATGGCCTTGAGCATACTCCCCTGGCCCTGAGGAAACCACAGCAGTTCTATCACAGAAGTGGAAGAATGATAGGTTTGACTTTCTGGTCAGTAACTGATACGGTGTTTATTTGTATTTTTTGGTTCTGAAGCTTCATTATTGGAGTTTATAACTTTCCTTTGTAAAAATGTCCCTGATTAGGATTACTGGTATCTAATACTTATTTGTTCAACAAAGAATAAACAAACCATTATATAATATATATATAATAATATATATTATATATATAATAATATATATAATATATATATATATAATAGCTGCAAGGCCAGAATAACCAGAAGCTACTCTGTCTTCTTAACATGTAGTCAAAGTGGATTATAGGGTTTGGGATACTTAGCATAGCTTATTATCCTTATTTAGTTATCCAGTCTACTTACATGTCCTTTGGAAGACTACTAGTGGTTTAATTAATTCTCCAGTTTGAAAGAATAACTGTGTTCATGACAGTTACTATAGTAGTAAGACCTATCAAAGTAGTTATATTTTCTATTACCTATCTTTTTACTTACTAGTCCAAGTATACAAATTAGTTCATTATATGTGCTGTCTTTCTATAAAACAGTTTCACATTTTAGAGTTTTCATTGTCATATGAGTTTCTCCCCTTAGAAAATACTGATATTTTTGTATTAATAAGTGTTGACTTTATAAAAAGATGGTGACATATCTCAGCTTTATGTTATAAGTCCTGTATATCTTGGTCCTCATGCTGCCCTTCTCTTTTCCCCGCTATGACTTTCAAACATGCTACCTTCATCTACCCAGGGTAGCCTTCTAACTGTCTGCTAAACATACCATTCCCTTTTCCAACTCTGAAATTTCACTTTCACTAATGCTCTTCTTTTGTCCTGCTTAGGAATTTGACCTATTCTTTAGTGCTCAGTTGAAAACCCACAAGGCCACTCAGCATACTCCAGCAATACCATAAATCCTTTGAGGTCAGGCACAATGTCTTTTATTTATTCAATATCCTCCTAGTGTCTAGCACACATAGTCTATGCTCAAGAAGTCCAAATGATTAAATCTTTGTAATGGATTTGCAGGATGTATACCAGCCTCCCTGGCTTGCTTTGGTGCTCATCTTATAAGGTATAAATCTGTCGTGCCATTATGAATACTTCAGAAATCTAAAAAACAATCTCCTTTGAACTACTGATAATGTTAAAAACCAGAGTGTTGGCAAAAATATGACATGTCCTCAATTTTAAGTGCCTATTCATTTTCATTGCTGGATTTTCCAACTGCCTAACCCTATGTTGACATCTGTATAAATCAGATGTGATTATTATAATTCTCTTTGAGAGTGATGTCTTCCATGCCCTCAGCCTGCCAAAAATATAGGTGATGAAAACCAGGGAGAATAGAGGAATTTCCAGAAAGGAATAAACAAACACATTTTCTTTTTCTCATTACATTTCCATAAATTCATTACTACAAAAAATTCTTAAATGCAGTCACATTTACACATCAGGGATCTCGTTGTTATAAAATATTACCTGGTACTAGGATTAGCTTTTTTTTATGGGAAAGTAAAACATGCACGTGCACACACACACAGGAAGAGAGAGTGAGAGAGAGCTGAAGATTGCTAGACAAAGAAGGAAGATATGATGAGACTTGGAGAATGTTAAAAGGAAAGCTACACTGAGAATTAAAAGGTTGGAAAAATATGATATTCTAGAACCTTATCATAGTTGGTTGCTTGTCCTTCTTCCTACTCAGTCACTCTGTCATCTACCCACCTATTCTCAATCAGCCACTGCTTTCTCACAGGCATTTGTCTAATTACCCACTTGACACCCACTTCTGTCAGCCAAGACAGATACCCTTTCAATTTACCTACAAATGGGCACTTGACTGTTTTTGAACCAGTATGAATATAAATATAAGAGAAAGAAAGAGATATACCTTTATGAGACTGACTTGAGAGGGTATATTTGCATATACATGATGTGTCAATATACAAAGGTGTGTGTTTCTGCATGTATGAGTGGCTGAGAATGACTCTGTGTCTGTGTGTCTATGTGTATCTATAAATGTGTGTCACTGTGTGGAGGAGGATATAATGTTTGTGTTAATTTTCTGTGTGTGTATCTGTACATAAGTTGGATATGAGAGAACACTGAATGCAAGGCAAGTTTTCTGTGGCCATCCTAGGGAGGTTAGGACCTATTATTATACTAAAGATCTCCCTAATAAATGAGCAAGTTCATATATCCTCATGATAAGAAAAAGTCTCCAGTAGAAACTGGGGCTGGTTACTATAGGTGGGGGAACAAAAAATAAAGTTGTTTCTTGCTTTCACTCACTTAGGTACTGAGTCACAGTAACTAAATATAACAAGAGCAAAGAATTTGAGTTCAGATTTGCACTCTCTAAGGTATGGTGGTAGATGGGAGGATGAGGTTGGGGGTAATATCTGTAATGGGGTGTCTTAGCAAAATCAGCCTTCAACTCACAATTGTAAAATCATTATTTCTTTAGATTTGGCTTCT